AAACTGTTTAAAGACAATAGCCAAGAACTGAGTAAGGCTGGCAACAACTAATGTCTGGCAAGAGGTGGTAACATTTATCTGATTCAAGACCCAAAACTTCACCACAACTGGAAAATAACAGAGGAGCTGCATGTGATTTGGAACTCTGTGAGAAGGGTGGCTTTAATAGCTCTTACTCAAGTACTGAATCTGCTAACAATATTCTCTGCCAATGGACATCCTGCACCTCTGCCTCCACCCTTTGTAATGAAGCAATGAATGTTGCCAACTCTGCTGCCTTTACAAAAAAAAAAAAAAAAATCAGTCTGCTTAGCCTTGGTTTCAACTCAAAAACAAAACAGGGAAAATTATGAGAGACCAAATGTTTTCTCTCCCTTACGGCTAATATCTGTGTGATTTACATGGTGTTTATGAAATCTGTCACATTTGCAAAAACATGCACACTTGGCTGAAGGGCTGGATACCCCAACTTTAATGTAAGCTCTGATTTTCCCAACATAGAAGGTCATATGTTGCTTTTCCAAAACACCGTCTGAGAGGCACACATTGCTAAACCTTAATTTCAAACCCTACGTTTTAACCATGCATTAATTTAAAATTGGGTAGCCAATAAGCACAGTCTCGAACATCCAGGTGCCAGATGCATGTTACTATGTGTTCTACTCAGCACACTCTGCAGCATGTCAAGGTGCCTTTTTCTTTATCCACAATGTTTTGGGAGCTGGATCTAGTTGAGACATTAGTTAACAGAACCAAAATAGCATGTAAACTAGGTAATGGATGAAGGGTGGCTTTGTAGTATGCTCAGATTGATTGTGTCCCACAAGGCAGAATGTTATTGCTACTTAATGAAGATCACTAGACTAATTTTCTTACATACTGTTGGCCTTCTCTTTCACTTGCCCAGCTAAGTAAAGAAACCAGACTCTTACTTGCACTTTTCTTTCCTTTTTGGTATGTTTTGGTGATCATTTCTTTCAAGTTCTCTGCACATTGGATAAGCTATTTTTAGTATATTTTCTTTGGCTACTAAACACCTGTACTGTAGCATTTGAATACCAAATATGCCACTGTATATAGTACAGAAATCTGTGGCTGTGCACTTATGGTAACAGCCAATCCAACTTAAGGAACCACTCAGAGGAATGATAGCAATCAATAGTACTTTACTGCACAAGGTCTAATAACAGTGAAGCAGAACTGTATTCACTTCTTGACCCTGATTCTTAAAGACAGAAAGACCTTTTACACCATTCTGGCAGTATAAAGGAGCCTTCATATAGATGTAGTCCAGTATGTTAGCTGCAGTTTCTTAAAACAGGTTTCATTATAGGAACACAGAGAAAAACATTCTTACTCACTGCCATACCATGTGCGTGTTACTTCTGTTCTAACAACAAGGTTTATAGGGGTGCATCTACACAGCAGGCCTTAACTAGAAATAAGCTATGCAAAGTGATCTACATCATTTGTGTAGCTTATTTCAAAATAGCTTATTTAAAAATTGGGAGCGTCTACACAGCACTTATTCCGAAAAAGAGCACTCTTCCTCCATTGTCCCTTATGGAGGGTATAATGAGGGTTACAGGAGTCAGAGTAAAATGTCCTTCAGCTTGACAGTATTTTGACATTATTTTGAAGTAACTTCCTGCTGTGTAGATGCAAGCTGTTATTTTGAAATAACGCTAGTTATTTCAAAATAATGTTGCTATGTAGACACACTTTGGCTACGTCTACACTGGCCCCTTTCCCGAAAGGGGCATGCTAATTTTAAACTTCGTAATAGGGAAATCTGCGGGGGATTTAAATATCCCCCGCGGGATTTAAATAAAGATGTCCGCCGCTTTTTTCCGGCTTGTAGAAAAGCCGGAAAAGAGCGTCTAGACTGGCTTGATCCTCCGGAATAAAGCCCTATTCCGGAGGATCTCTTATTCCTACTTCAAAGTAGGATACTCACCTGTATCGCATGATTGAATCCCGTGTGGAACGAGGAGTACAGATAGTTCAGAATGGCTACGTAGTTCGAACTATCTAGCCCATGCCGCGTGTAGCCGCGCGGCACGGGGTTCGCACTAGCCAGCTTTTAAAAATGGCGGCGCCGGCTTTATGCTAATGAAGCCCGGGAAATTCAAATCCCGGGCTTCATTAGCAAGTTCGGTATGAATACATTACCCCGCTAGTTCGAACTAGCAGGGTAGTGTAGACATACCCTGGGAGAGTGGGCCAGAAAGCAACACTTCTGTTTTATAAAAATAAAACAAACAAACAAAAATAATGTATTAATATCATTTAACAGCTAGTAAATGTTACCCAATAGAAAGGTGGCAGAACTTGCCCTTGAATAATTTAATAGTTTCCAAATCATTGATTCAATCATGCGATACAGGTGAGTATTAAATATTTATTTCTTGACTCTGAATCTTCATTTGTCACAGGTGAAGCAGAACTACCAGCCACTAGGTGGCACTTCATTATGAAAAGGTTTGCCCAAATGCCTTAAACTGATGAAAATTTAACACACACCTGAAAATCTAAGTTCAGGCCATCTCAAGCTAACTAAATTTCCCCACAAGATAAAGAACTCTAGCTAGATTACCAAGACATTTTATAGCCTGGATTAGTGGCAGTGAGTGAACATTTCATATTCCAAAATATTTGTAATGTGATCTGAACAGAGGTTATGTGTAAGACTGTATTTAAAATTCCCTTTCTAGTTATTACAGAAAAACTAAGGAACTCATGGCCCAGAGCTACATCTGACTATTCTGAACATTCTATATACTCAGCAGCTTCATTAATATCTTGCCAAGGCTTGTCTGCTGACAAGACTTTCCAAGGAAAATTTTATATTGACTTAACTTTTGATACAAACCATATAAACCTTTTTTCTTGAGAGAGCAATTTAGCATGTCTGGAAATTCTCTTTTTGGACATGGAAACATTAGCTCTCATACTCCTCAATGTGTTGTAGATTTATTAACGATATTCACAGTGAATTCTCTGAATTATCTTTCTAGTAGTCATTTGCTGAGTATGTCCATTGAGATGGGAGTGGGAATGAGAGAAGTAAGAAAAGCAGCTTCAAAGGAGAGAAAATATTTTTGAATTTTGTGGAATAGAACTTTCCATTGTAAGTATTCTGTATTCTGGGCAAACCAAAAAGTAATATTCAATTTCAGTAGCATTTAAAAATTGATTGACTGATGTTTTACCAATGCCATCAAGCTAACCATCTCTCTCTCTAACCCATATGGAAACTAGCCCAATAAGGAAATGTTGTCATACCATGCACCTTGAATGTGCCAAACAAATGAGTACTTAAGAGTCCTCCCTCACACTTCTTCAACATAACTGTTCCTTTCTATGCCCAAAATTGACCATTACTAGAATAAATGTGTTTTATAACACAGTATAGTCTGGGGACAACCAAAGGGAGGGGAAGGGTCTTGTCAGGGGATGACGTGCAGGAAGGCTTTGTTGAAAAGGGAGATCAAACTGAGAGTGATTTTCACTGTGGGTGGCTGGTGGCTAAGGACGCCATTATCTACAGTGAAAAACATGTTAATTTATATTGTTTCGAAAGCAGATAAGAGCCCCCACTGCATACATTTCCTCTGGCTTCGCAACATGCTTTTAAGTGAAACAACTGTAGGGTGAACTGAGAAAGCATAGATTTAAAATGACAAGTCACAGCAAACATAACTTAAATACATGAAAATGTGGAACGGATCTCCTGCAATCCATATTTTAAAAGATATTCAGAAATGTAAACCTCTACCTATTTTTTGATGCGAGGAACATTGCCATTTGGCACTCATTTGGGCACTTCTTTGGTGCAGATTTGCACCCGATTTGCTCATAAAATGAACATTCACCCTATGAACCAATTGTTCCATTGCTCAAACATCCTGTTAGAAACATAGTAAACCCTGATACACAGGTTGCTGTCTAGCTATACTTTCACAGACAGGCTGGCCATCAATTTGGTAAAGTAATAATTTCTAATAGTTTCCTTTTTGGGGCTGGATGTGGGTTTAAAAAGTTTGGCTGTAATTGACTGCTCTACGTTTTATATTTATTTGATGCCATTTATCCAATTACTTTATTAGTTTCTTTCATGCATGAACATATCTCTTTCATATTGAGAGGACATAAGTAGTATTTCATACCTGAAGAGTAAAAGGTTCTGAAATACATTGGTTAAAATCTCTAGGAAACAGTACAGATCCCCAAAGTTCTTATGGAATCTCATCTGTTAACTATCATGATTAACTTCACTCTAAATTGAATGTGAGTGTAATTTTTCACTATATTCCAAGTTCATTTTCTGCAAGTGATCTGTTGCGCTGTAAGTCCCTCTTAGAAAATCAGTTGGCTGTTAAATGATTTTCTAAAAGTTTGGAGTAGCCTGCATATGGGAGATAAAGAAGTTTTTAGCAGAATGAATGCATTCACCCATTTGATTTGGGTGAAAAATTAAAGCTCTTCAAGCTGGCAGATTCATTTCCTTGCACGGTTTTAGAAAAATGGTATCAGCAACCTTGGTTAAAATTTAAAGTTTTGCCTATTGGCTAAAATCTTTAAAATATATTCTTATAATGTCAAAGGAGCACTTACTCTATGATTCAGAACAGCAATGTAGCAAACAGCTGGAAACATAGGCTTATTACATGAGACAAATAACTTCCAGACTACAAAAACATTTAAAAAACCCTCATAACTTTCCAGAGACTATAATATGAACACCAGAAAGAACAAATATAACTTAAAGAGAGAAAAATGTACACAGGAAAAGCAAAACATTTCTTACATTTAGGAACCTCTTGGTTAGTAATACACATATTCCAGTATCCAGCTAAAAACATTAGCTATCTATCTGGTAATGCTGACTTAGTGAAGGAAAAGTATCCTGGAGAGATTTGTGAATATTGTTTTCTTATGTGTTATTAAGATGAATTGATGAAATTAAAAAAAACTTTTAAGAAGTTTGAATTACTCACCATCTTGTTGTGCCAAAATAATTGAGGGTTGAAACACGGCAAGAATGAGCCAAGTTACTTTTTGCACAAAGCTCATCATGTCTAAATATTAGACATGAGACTCTATGTGCAAAAATAAAAATGGGGGGAAAAGAAAAATCAATTCAAAATAGCACCATCAATTGTTCCCTGCCCTTTCAGCACCGGGCCCTGCACAGAACTGAGCCACAGACATTCCTTTGCTATGGCCTTAAATAGGAAAAAAGTTTGGCTTCCTTTCCTTTCCAGCCCCTTTCTGAAATATGAGAGTAAGACCAATCCCCTTAACAGTAAAAGAAATTATTTAATTTTTTTGGCTTTGCAGAAGAAACAGACTACTAAACTAGATAAATAGCACATCTAGAACTTTTGTATGTGTATGTTGCACATACACACCCACACACAAATGTATACTAGACTACATAATGTATGCACAGAGTGTGTATGTGTTTGTACTGAATGTATGTGATGTGGGAAAGAAGTTATAGTGGGTTTCTATGTGGTAAAGCATTTTTCCCTGTTAATTATGATTCAGCCAAGATGTATAATACTTGATGCTTCAGTAAAGAGCAATGCTGCAACAATATAATGGAAATAAATAGACCACAGAAAACAAAGAAGTTCTTGAAGTTAAAAAAGTGCACGTTTCATCCTTAGGGGTACAAGTGAGACTAAATGAAAGTGGGGCCCTGAATATGGCAACTAAATTTCAGAGCTGGTACGGTGCCATTCTGCCATCTTCTTGTGATGGATGCAGTTTTGTACTGCTCTAAGTAGTAATAACACATGGAAGATTTCATGATAGAAACAATATATTCCAAAAATGGGCAATGGCCTAGGACTAAAACTTTTCAAAGAGTTCACCTTAATTTCACTAGACAAAAGGAATGCAGAACAGCTACCTTTGCTTCAGTCCACCCGCCCCACCAAGACATTACTTCCTCTCAGAAAAAAGCCGGAGTCTGTTGCATTCACATCATGGTAACTCAAATTCCTTCGTATGCCTCATTACATATTGCTTTATTGAGCATCAAAGGTTCAAGCAGGTATATTGCATTCAAAATCAGATCACCTGAGAGACTATTGCTTCATAAAGAAAATTTGCTATATATGTGACCTTCATTTTAGGATTTGGGAGATTCCAAAATTAATGCAGAGAGTAGTGTGGAAAGCTTATAGGCTTGAGGAAATCATTCTATCATTGGTCAAATAAAGGTATGAACAAAATTAATTTTCTCCTTTGACAGGGTTAGTGGCATAGTGGATAGGGACAAGTAGTGGTCATAATATATCTTGATTTTAGTAAGGCTTTTGACACAGTCATGCAGTGGCGCTGACAGTCTCGCTGGGCCACTAGGTAAGGCAGGGGAGCAAAGCAGCTGCTTTGTACCCCCAGAAGGTGCAGGACCTTGTGCAGAAGGGGCAGGGCTGAGACTAGACAGCCCTCAGCACCATCCAGGGAATGTTGCGCATGCTGCATGGAGCAGACCACACAGTGATCGGACATCAATCCAAAGAGCCTGGAAGCTCAGGGCCCTTTTGTATCACCAGGCACTGAGGCAGTTGTTCCTTTATTCCTTCCCCACCCTGATCAGTAGACCTGGTCCCGTGTGCCATTCTCATAAGCAAACTAGAGAAATATGATCTACATGAAATGCTTAAGCAGTGGATGCAAGACTGGCTGAAAGAACAAGCTCAAAGGGTAACTATTGATAGTCCACTCTGAAAAGCAAGGCACATCAAGTGGAGTTCCTCACCGGTCAGTCCCTGAGTTTGGTATTATGCAGTATTTTCATTAATGACTTGGCTAATGGAGTGAAGAATATGTTTATAAAATTTGTGGCTAACACTATGCTGAGAGGGATGGGAGTTCAAGTACTTGGAAGACAGGATTAAACATATTGGAGAATTGGTCTGAAATCAACAAAATGAAATTCATAAAAGGCAAGTGCAAAGCATTGCACTTAGGAAATTAAAATCAAATGTACAACTACAGAATGGGAAATAACTGGCTAAGCAGTGTACTGCTGAAAAGGAAGTGGCGGTTATAGTATATTACAAACTGATACAAAGATGAGTCCATGTTATGCAGTTGTGCAAAAGGCTAAAATAATTGTGGAGTTCATTAACAGGAGTGTTAGTTGCCTTTGATCCTTATCTGCTTCTTTTTAACTATCCAATCTTCAGGTGCTAATAGGCACCGGCTCTGCCTACTTGTTTTTCCCTTTGATATTTTCATTCCCTCTACTCCTTATTTCCTCTCCACCCCCCCTTCTCTCCTATTTATTTTAGGTCTGCACATCCTAAACTCATAACTCTGGTCATCTGAAGAAGTGGGCTGTGCCCACGAAAGCTCATGATACCATCTACATGTTTTGTTAGTCTATAAAGTGCTACTAAACCGTTTGTTGTTTTTTAGTAAGACATGAGGGGTAACTGGTAAACTGTACAATGGTGAAGCCTTACTTGGAGGACTGTGTCTAATTCTGAATGCTGCGCTTTAGGAAGGATGGACAAGTTGGAAAGACACCAGAGGAAAGCAGCAACAACGATCAAAGGTTTAGAAAACCAGACCTATGAAGAAAGGTTAAAAAAACTGAGCATGTATAGGCTCAAAGAAAGATAACTTGGGGGAGGGGACCATTATAACAGTCTTGGGATATGGTAAGGGCTGTTGTAAGAAAGATGGTAATCAATTGCTCTCCATGTCCAGTGAAGGAAGGATAACAAATAATGGGCTTAATCTGCAGCAACAGAGCTTTAGCTTAGATATTAGGAAACTCTAACTGCAAGGCTATTTAAGAACTAGAACAGGCTTCATAAGGAGGTTGTACAATTTCTATCCCTGGAATATTTTAAGAATAGTGTAGATAGGAGTGGGAAGGAATGGTCTAGGTTTCCTTGGTTCTGCCTCAACAGACTTGATGATTTCTTGAAGTCTTGTTCAGCCTTACATTTCTATGGTTCTACGATTTCTGCTGAAACCGAATTAATTTAAACAGATGAATTTGGACCCATGTTGTGTATGTGGAGAGTATGGAATGGACGGACTCATTTACAAATACAGCAGGAGCATCATTCATATCAATAGGGTGTTCATGTCAGAGTACAGAGAGTTAACCTAGGAAAAGGGCAAACTTAAAAAGATTTTTGTGTGTGCATCAGTGTTCCTTGTAAGCTGAACACTTAGGCAACTGCCCAGCAGAGATTCAGGTGCTGCCCATCTGATTAGCACAGTGCCCACAGCTGCTCACAGTGGACAGCATGTGTGCATGGTGGTGCACATCTGCACATTCCTCAGTACACATAACAAAATTTATTTTGCCTAAGAATGGAAAAACAGAGGGAACCTTGGTGTGCATGTATACAAAAGTAATCAAATGTCTGCTATTATCTCTTCAGCTCATACACAGTGTTGGATCATGATTTCCTGAGCACGTGAAATGCATTTTCGCTTAAAGCAGAAGTTCCTCAGCTGACTACATCCAATAGGGCGATGTAGGTGAAAGCAAGCAATGAAATTCCCTTGAACTTTTTGATGTAGCAGAGTGGATTCACTTTCAATACATTCTGAGAGACAATGTGTGATGCTGCATGGAGGAAATTGTAGTATATTAAATAATATGCAGTGGATGTTGGTAGATCAATTTCATGACTGGTTTTTGCATGAATTGTGTACTCCTAATCTTTCCTATTTATCCATAGTGCATTAAAATGACACAAAATGTATTGAGTTTTCATACCATTTTAGGATTACGTTACCAGTTTCTAAATTGCATATTTTGACCCACACTAGGTTATTTGATTTGTTCATTGAAACTAGTTACAATAGAACATGCACATCTATCAGTTCCATTGAATTTTCAACAGAAAATGACTCAGATATCTGTCATTATCCACATGCACAAGATCCCATTGTCCTTTCAAAATTGAACACAGGAACTTCATCAGAACAAGAACTCTTGCACTAACTGCTGTATTGATTTATCGGGCTCTTCTTGGGCAAGAAATAGAAATGTGCAAAAGTATAGCAATGTCTGACATCTGTTAAGGATTCGGATCCCTTCAATGGGTAGGAAACAAGACTTGTTATAGCTATAAAACAACATAACTGTGATTAACTTAATAGATGAGTGAATGTCAGCTCTCTGCAAATACAGTTGAAGACACTGTATACAGAGATTGAGATCGAATAAAAATACAGTCAGTTATTATTTCTGCCTCTTGGAGAACATGGTGTAACAGAACCAATATCAGTTAATTACTATCATTTTTGTATATTTCTTATCCTTTTTATATATGGTGCTAGATCAGGCTACTAGAGTGAATTCTGTGTAAGCTTGGATCCAAGATTCTTTAAGACTGATGTGATCCAAACCCTTCTTAGCTTTCAGTGGTTCAGTTCCACATGTGACGATTCAGATCTATGTTTAACACTATAAATCTTATTCTATTTGGCTAATCTTAGAGAAGTATATGGGGTTATGATCTAAAAGGACCTACACTGAAGGAAGAAACTAATATTACAGAGATTTTCTTCAGGTAAAGATTTGCAAATCCAATGGCAGGAAGCTAAAGCTAGAAAAACCACATTAAAATAAAGCACAAATTCTTAACCCTAATGTTTTTTCCAATTGTTATGGTTATTTTACAGCTCAGAAATCACAATTAAAATTTTTTTGACTAGCTGTAAAATACAATTTAAAATACATTACATCTTGTTAATACTGATAAATCAATATGGTACATTTCTCTTGAAAGATCCAGGCCTGTGTGTGATAGGTAAAATTTATCCTGGTGCAGAGGGGTATATATGGATCTATGCACAACTCAAGCTCCATTGAAGACCTATGTTGAGGTCTTCAGTGAACCCTAAGTAGCACATGGAGTCATGGTCAAGCACTCTACATGGGAGCAAATTCCATATTGACAAAAAAAGGTAAAGCAAAGTTGGGTATAAGCCAAGCAATATGTCAATATGAAATAATGTTAATCAAGGCCCCGAGTACAACACGTGCCCTCCCCCCCCACACACACACACATTGGTGAGCAGTTATTCACATGAATAACATCTCTGACTTCATCCAGTCTTAAGTCCCATCTCAACTTGTTATCTTGAGTTAGGGGTAGGTTTTCTTCGCATGATATCCAGGTTTTATATAGATGTTCCAATACTAGCACTTGGATTTTGTTTAGGTTTTTAAGTA